ACAGCTCATCAGTAAAGCTGCATTCTCTATTGGGGAAATAAAAGAAACACAAAATAAGAGTTTATGCAAATAAAGGTGGTTTTGGAAGGTGTCAGTATCCGTAACATATGCCACTTGGATCTTTCTTCAAGATAGTTAAGAGCTCACCCATTTTTTTTTAACGTCAGTAGTGTCATTGACGCCAGCAAACTTAAAATAGTTTGTGGAATCAGAATCTTTGAGACAGATATGATTGTGTCTTTTGGTGATGTCTCTGCAATTTAAGCTTTTCTTGGCATGCATTTTAGGGAAATCCAGCTTGCTTTTTTTTTTTTTTTCTTCTCTCATTCTTTCACAAGCCGTAATATCTGCATCTGAGAAAAACAGTTTAATCTAAAACTATCGTTTCAAACAATTGCTACTTCATATTTAACTTCTCCTACCCGGTATCTGTCGTTAGCGTTATCTGATATTAGGCTTTGAGGAGCATGGGGCAGCTATACATAAAAAAAGTACATGTAATTTTTAGCTCTTTGTTTCCTACAGCTATTATTAATTAAGGTTCCAATCCTGCAAATGCTTTTAGTCAAGCAAACTGCCATGAACGCAAACAGGACTCTGTAAAAACCCAGGAGTACTCCCACGTGAAAGTGGTGAAATTAATAGAGTCAGAGCTCTTCAGGGCAGTGAATCCCTTTCTGTTCCGCGTACTCGCTAGTTAGGGGTTTCTGCTCCAAGTCTAGAGCTCATCACACTATAAATCATAAGCAAACACACCTGCAAAGTAAGTGACATAATCCCAGCAGCTATTAAAACCTCGATATTTTGCAGTTATTTATCCTTGTATGTATACGCGTCTCTTTCTCACGCCAGCGCAGAGAAAATTAGAAATGACCAGGAATACACCCTGTGAGAAGTATTTTACTCATTAATGTGTAAAAGAGGTGATGAAGATTAGTGACTTATCACTCTCCTAATGTCCCCTGATGGAGGCAGAATTATGAAATATGCCCCCTGCTGCTGGTCCTGCAAGGGCCTGGAAATATCAGCCAGGGGACAATAAATATTTCAGGTAATGGCAGGTTTTTCTTCTCTAGTTGGGTCTTTGTAATCATACTGCGTATTTACCCAAGAAACGGGTGCGAGTCATAGAGTATAACATTTGATGCATGAAGATTCGAATCATCTCTATTTTTTATTCTGTATTTTTGAATCAGCTGTATTTTTTTTATCTACTTGAAGTATAATCAGCAAAATATTAACTGCGCAGCGCAGTCAGGAGTAAGCAGTGTTAAAAATACAGAGTGCTGAAAATACACTTTGCCTTTCTTCCGTGCACAACTGTGCCTGTATTTTTGATGGGGGCTCTGGTAAAATGTCTTGTGAATACACGTATAGATCCAAATCCGCAATGCAAATTATATCAAATAGCAAAATGAGTAATATGTAATAATACAAGCCTCTTTTTTTTTTTTTTTTCTCTCTGCGATTAGTAATTTTAATAGGAGAATGGACTGAGTGTAGAGTCTAACTGTCAAGATCTAGAGAAAATAAAATGGAAAACATATTTTCAGGCATCACTGACTTGCCTGCACATGCACTTTGAATACATTTCTAAACACAAATGAAAGATACATCTTATTAAAACATCCTACAAGGATTGTGATAACTGGTTTTTAGGTCAGCGTTCTTAAGCGGAGATAATACTAGAAAGAATGAAACAATTGTTAAATTGCAATATAACATGCGGATTGGGAAACAAATACTATTGTGCAAGACAGTTCAGTTTGCAAGTAAATTATCTATTTAAAACAAACACACACCAAAGTTCTGAAGAGGACTTATTCTGGGGCTTTGGAGTATCTAATGTGGAATGCAAGTTTCCCATGGCTTAAACTCTAAAAGCATTCCTGAAACATCATAGTTCAGGTGTGAAGCCTCAAGTCCATTAACCATTTCAATATTTCATCGGTTTATTTAAATTAAATAGGAAGCATAAGATATTTTACTGGTAAGAGCGGGCTGGCAATTCAAATAACATTTAATGATGTAATGCAAACTTGTAAATCATTTTCAGTGAGGGCCTCATAGTTCAGCATAACTTTTATGTAATATCCTAAATTGCTGGCATAGCTTTAAAATTTGTAATACTTGGAGATCATGAAAATTAGAACAGAATCCATATGTATACGGGAGAAGTAGTTGAAAATATGGATTCAGGCTTAAAGTTTTTATAGATACGTTGTAGTCTTTAAAGCAAAAATTGTGTCTGATAAGTGTTAAACCATGGCACATGTAAACGTTAAAAAGAGTGAAATGGAAGTACACCACAGAAATACAACGTTAAAGGTACATGGTACACGTTGTGGTAGTGTGATTTCTCACAGAAAACTGTTTTTTTGTTGAGGTATAGTGAAGATACTGGTATACTGTAAGTTTATGAATGGTAAATGTGATTATCATCATTCTTTACTAGTCAGGGATTCAGTATTTTTGATAAGTCAGTCAACAAATCATTCATTTTCTGTGCAAGGATTTTCAGTTAAGGCACTCAAGCATCCCTGAAACGATGCATAATCCCCAGGCTTTATTATTGCTTATATCTGTAGATTTCCATTGCAGCACAGGTATCAAGAGAAACGAATTATATTGCTTCTATGGGAGTTAAACAGGCGAAATTAGGGAAAAAAGAAAAGGCTGAAAATAAACATACATCTGTTGTGAATCTGGATTGACTCTAAGGTTAAATAATGATGCCTGCCTTCACCAAATTGCCATGGAAAAATACGAACTGATCATAATTACAGTACAATAAAACCTCGTCCTCTTGCTTTGGTAGGCTCTTGAGTACAATAAAATCTTTGGCTAAAATAAACTGAATTCATATTTGTAAGCTTTCTCTTCGACAGTAAGGAGAATGCTCTTAAATGGCGTAAATTGTCATCTTTTTGCTGACTTCAACAAAGTTACGACCATTTATACCACTCAAACGGTGGTCCCCAAGTCTGACTATCTGGCTAATTTTACTGTAATATGCATATTACAAATGTGCAAACCACACACTAAGAAAGAACTGTTCAAGAATCCTACTTACATTCTGATAAATATTCAGGAAGATGGTGCTTTCAGCCTCCAACGTAAAAAACTGAGCAAGACTACAAAAGTCCTGAAGAGGAGGAATTGTACACTGGTTCATTCAGGTTAATTTTATATGATCTCTTTCCCTATAAATCGTAAGATAAAAAAAAAAAAAAAGAAAAAGAAAACAAAAAAAACCCCAAACCAAAACAAAATAACCCACCACCCAACCTGAAAAACACAAAGCGAATGCAAATATTAGCCCATACACGAAAATATAAATGATGTTCCAAACTGTGTTGGCTCCAGATGTTTTTATGAGTTAAACGGTTTACTGTTTTCATATATTTAAAACATTCTATTTTTTCACTTGATGTTATAAGCTTTGGGCAAACTTGCTGGCATTGATTTAAGTTATGCTTTTGTACCACATGTAGGTCAAACGCACATTCGGAAAAGATACCGTACGAATGAGAACCCAATCATTAGTATTGAGAGGTAATAACTGCTTGCACTTTCTTCAGCAATTATTTCACTGAGAAGCTTTGCACTGAAGCTTTCTTTGACTGAAAAGCCATAAATTTTTACAAAGGATGGTATCATATAGCCAGAGTTATTTGATAACTCTGCACAGAAAGTTTTTGAATCGTTTCAGTAAGCGTTTGAAGTTGTTTATTTGCCTCACCATTAGTTGCCTATATTTGCATTCTCCTTATATTGTTTAAAATGAAAGCATAAAGCTCTATAGAGATTTGCATTTTCAGTTCTTGCGTGCTCAAAATCTCATATTAAATGAATAATCGATCTAGGACTTGGGTATTCATTAGGGGACTTAGGAACCCAAGGAAGCAGAGTCCCGAATATTCAGATTTGATGATGAAGCTAATGGCAAACACTTTGCCGTGCCATTACCACTTTGCTATTGCCTTCCTCCTTTTTTTTTTTTTTTTTTTTTTTTTTTCTTCTTCCCCTTTTGGAGCCCCCCCTCCCCCCCCCCAAAAAAAAAAAAAAAAAAAGGTGCTATTTGGCTCCGTCTCTTATTTCTCTTGGAAACCTAATCTTTCTCCCTCCCCCTCGCACCCTCTCACTTTCTTCATTGTGCTTCACTTATTTCACTTTTTTCTTCTTCTTTTTTTTTTTTTTTTTAAATCCTGCGCAAGAAATCCTGTGCGCCCATCCCCTAGAATTAAACAAAACAAAATAAAAAAAGGCTTTTTTTTTTTTTTTTTAAGACTGGGTTTGGGGGCTTCCCTTGGCAGCTGTGGCGGTGTCGGGGCTTCAAGCCCTTTGCAGGAGGGGGTCCTGCCATTCCTGCCCCCCCAAAACCCCCGACGGCGGCTGTGCCCCGCGGCAGCAGCAGGTTGGAGAGCCGCGGAGGGGTGCGGAGAGGTGCGGAGCGGGGAAGCGGCTGCCGGAGGTGAAGGGGGGGGAAGGAAGCGGGGGGGGGGTGGAGCCTCCCCGCCGCTCCCCGGGCTCCCACCTGGGGCCGCCCGGCCCCGCCGCCCGCCCCCGCAGCACCTCGGGCCGGCGGGGGAGAGACGGGGCCGGGGCGGTTGCGGGAGCCACGCACCCCCGCCGGTGGCTTCTCTGGCTTTGGTGGCACCGCCCGGTTCCTGAGGGACACCGCCACCCCCCTGCTCGCAGCCCAACGAACCCAAGAAGGGGTTCAGCCACCGCGTTTTTTTTTCTTTGTACTCCTTCTCTTTTAATATCAGAGCACATATTGAAACGATAAACACAATGAAAAGCACAAAATATTTCATCAGTGTTGTAACTGTATATTTCCTTTATTCTGAAGAAATATCAAGTTTTTGAACAGTGCACAGAGGCAGCGACTGCTGCTTTGGACGCCACTCGCTTTTTTAAAGAGCGCATTGTTACAGTTAAATCTAAAGACAATTTTTAAAAAGCATTAGATGTCAGAAAAGGGGGGAAAATCTTACCGTCGAAAGACCGCTGCAGGTTCCAGCTCAGTCTGAAACTGCAGGGAAAAGTGGAGCAGCTGCTGAACAAAAGTTTTAGATTTTTTTTTTTTTAGAAAGTCTGCAAAACTAATTTCCCACAAAATAGGACTCAATTTCCGTTTAAGAAACTAGCTCTTGCAAATCTCATACAATTCCTGATTTTTTCCAATAGCAATTGAAATTCATTTTATCTTTCGCACATGGACCCAAGAATTTAGACTTAAATTGCAGGAGCGCAATGGTTTTCCTTTTCTTTTTTTTTTTTTTTTTTTTTTTTTAATTTTGATTTGGGGGAGGAGGAGGAAGGTAGAGCGAGGAGGAAGGGCTAAGACACAAAACGTTTCCTCAGCGGGCACCTCTTTTGGTCAGTGATGAATAAATGCTTCATCCTAATTTAAACCAGTTCCCAGTCGCCTCGGTGGCTCCTGTTAATTCCACTACACGCGTGTTTAAGCAAAAAAATAAAACCCCCCAAAACTCGGGACTCTCTGGGTTGTCCCTCTCCAGCCGCTAAAGACCACAACGAAGGGAATGAAGATGCGGGGAATACAAATTATGCCAGGTCTCCTTTGGAAGGGGCGGGGGGCGAGAAGGGAAAGGGGGCTTTCTCCCGCCAGGTCTGACGGGCCGATGAGCGCCGGTGCCTCCGGGCCGGGCCCCCCCCCCGGTGCTGGGGGGACCCCGGGTCCCTCCCGGGGGTCGGGGCGGTGGGTGCGGGATGATGGATGGGGGGATGTGTGTGTGTGTGTGTGAACGCTCCGGCCCCGCACCGCGCTGCTGCGGGGGATGGCGGCGGGCGGCACCCCCCCCCCCCCCCCCCCCCGAAATACAACTGTTTCTCTTGTGTTTCTGTAATTACCTTGAACCATTCCTTCTGATTTAACGGATACACTGATTTCTAAAGGGAAGAATTAAGGATTTCTGTCCGTGACCTTGCAAAGGAGGAAAAGGATGAACTTGGAAGATCAGGAAGACACAGACTATGTCCTTTCCTAGACACAAGAAAC